TTTTTTGGCAAAGGAAAAAAATTCAATAACGATAAGAAAATGTCTACCGAGTCGTCTACTCAACCGAAAAAACAGCCTACTGTGCTATTGTGTATTGGCATGGCTGGCTCGGGTAAAACTACCTTTATGCAGGTATTGCATTTTGATCAAGAATGTACCTTCAGTGAGTGACTATGTATACGTTGATAGACCAAATTTATAATCTTTGTAGCGTTTGAATGCCCACCTTCACGGCGTTAAAAAACCGCCATATGTGTTAAATCTTGACCCTGCTGTTACACAACTTCCGTTCACTGCTAATATTGATATTCGAGACACAGTAAATTACAAAGAAGTGATGAAGCAGTAAAGTATCAATTTATTAAAATTTTTCATTGTTTTATATAAATTATTTAAAAAAAAACAATCATTACTAGATACAATTTAGGACCTAATGGTGGGATTTTGACAAGTTTAAACCTTTTTACCACAAAATTTGATCAAGTACTTGAATTCATTTCCAAACGTGCTTCAACACTTGAGTAAGAATTATTTAGTTATTCCTTCTTCCAATAATTTGCTAATTTGTCTAACAATCAAATAGGTATATTATTGTAGACACACCTGGCCAAATCGAGATTTTCACGTGGTCCGCGTCTGGGGCAATAATTACCGATGCTATGGCAGCAACGTATCCATGTGCAGTGGCATACATTATAGATACACCACGAACAACAAGCCCTGCCACTTTTATGAGTAACATGTTATATGCTTGCAGGTGAATTACAACTATCTTATTTGTTATCACCTGTATCATTACTGCATTTCTTCAACTATTGTTCAATTTTCAGCAAAATTTAATTATTGATGTTATGGGTAACTGATATAATTGAATGGCAAGTTTAGTATTTTGTATAAAACAAAACTTCCATTCATATTGGTGTTCAACAAAACCGACGTGATTTCTCACGAATTCGCTGTGAAATGGATGACTGATTTTGAGGCTTTCCAACAAGCTCTGCAAAAAGATTCAAGCTACATGAGCAGTCTTATGAACTCTATGTGTTTGGTTTTGGAAGAGTTTTATAAACATTTAAGGGTAGCTATAATTCTCTGTTCTTTCCTGTAATATTTATTACTCGACACATGTTAATTAAAATTATTTATAGGTTGTTGGCGTCTCAGCCATTACAGGTGCTGGAATGGATGAATTTTTCGGAGCAGTAGATGAGGCAGCCAAGGAATATGAAACGTAGGTGGTAGTTGTACTGTATTATGATAGTTAATGTTATCATCTAATCATCACTTTTTAATTTTTTTTTTTTTTTTTTAGCGTTTATAAACCTGAATTAGAAAAATTGATTAAGGAGAAGGTATCGTATACTTTATAGGATTGTAGAAATCAATCTATTCCCAAATAATTATTTAATTATTCCTATTCTTATTAATGGTTGCATCTAACAAGGCTGAACGGCAGGAAGTCGAGAAACAAGCGCAACTAACAAGGCTAATGAAAGACATGGATGTAACTGATTCTTCAAAAGTAGATAATACGAACGATTAATTTGATTGGTTGATTGACACAATTTTAAGTACGCCTATCTGCTATTACCGTTGCATGCTTCAAAGTACTTTTTAATATTGTAATGATATTGTAATGCTTCATTTATGAAAAATAAACATTTCGATATTTCCTTTGCGTTTATACATACAAAATAATTCAAACCTTGAGACTTTGTTTAGAAGGCAAATCTTTATTATTTATTACATAATATATACTGAGATAATGCTGAAATTTCATATTTTTATATTAAATTAAAAAATTTTTTGGGGGTAGAATTTTTTTTTGGGTTAAGG